CAGGGACTGCATTCTAGATTCTGTCCGACATGCACTTTGCAACGTGAATGCTGCCGCTCCATTTTAGGTTCGCTTTCTAATGTACAAAATAAGAAAAGGTAAGAATCTCTATGGTGTTAACCTTCAAACATTTTGTGTTTCTAAAAGTGAAAGCTTCTCTTATCCAGACTTCTGTAAACTCGTTAAACACTGGAAATATAGTGGCCTTTCTTTAAAGAAAAAGGGCGTGCTTCATGTTAAATTATTATATGCTATTTTGAAAATTTACAGGAAATTGACGTTATTTATCTTCAACTACAGTTAACATTGCTAGCGTCGTAGTAACCGATATGATTTAAGAAGAGAGAGAGAACAAACTGTAGCAAAATCTGAAGTGTGCCCGACGTGACTTGTCTTCCACGGACTGCGGCTAATAATTTCACAGTGAGCACTGGTTACAGCCGATGCCGGTGAAGGCTCTGCAAAAATGAATTATTAAATCGGTCTGCTTATATCCTATTACAGACTTCTTATGAATACTTGATTTTATTTTGTATAATTGACACGAGTTGACAGGAAAGGACAGGTTTAATGACAATCAAATTAAGATCAACTAGTATATGTGTCACACAGGAGAGCCGCATCAAGTGGTGATAGAGTAGCTGACGGGACACTGTGAGACAGAGCTCGAGTCTGTCATATAGCATAATAAGTTACCCTGTAATATTAGCAGACTGCTTGCAACAGCTCATGAATCCAATGGCTCTGGAAGAAACGGGCCACAGTATACGCCCAACAAGAGAAAAACAGACATTGACATCGCATATATAATCTCCGATCATTTGCCATCAAACTTAATTTCTAAATCATTTATATGACTTAATGACTCTGCATGAAAATTTTAAGCTGGTGGCAAGATGAACAGCACCAGAGAGAGTGTAGATGAGTACAGCATCATTTACCTACCCCTCGCCCTACTAACAAGTGACAGCTGAGCTATTGTAATATGTCCCAAACACTTAAACTATCATGTCATCACTTAGGAGACAAGTGAAAAAGATATTGGCATTTATAAGAGATTGATGAAAATTAGTTCTCAAGCATTAATTTCTGTTAATACCACTAAAAGAATAGTGTGCATTCAGGAGATATTTGATCTGAATTAAGAAACTGATGAAGCAATTGATTAATTGGAATTTAAGCCATCAGTCACCAGATCCATCACCAGCTTCATTTACATTCTAAACAATTAGCTGACAGCCCAATAGAATACCCTGTATTAATACACAGTCAATATGATGCCACCAAGAGACGCGCCGTGCTGTATTGACAAGCGCACAGCGGCTATTGTCCAGGCTCAGATGAGCTGCATAGATTTAGGACTTTTATGGTGGCGAGGGCTAACCGATTCTTATTAAAACAGACAATGGACTATCAGGTTTTTCTGAACTAAAACTGAAAAGTAATAAAATAATATTAACAGTGTTAGTAGATACACAAAGAATTCTGAATATGTGTACTTTTGAAGATGAGGCAATTAAAACAATTACTGAAAGCCCTAAGAACAGAATTGGCAAAGCTAAGACTCCTTGACTGAAAGCAATATCATGACACAAATTTTATACAACTGGGAAGCTATTTGCTGCATTTTACAAAGAAAAGAAAAATAGCTGACATTTTCATGTCTGCATATAAGTAATTAGTAATTGTTTTAACAATTAAAAATATTTTTTCTATTATAGTTGACATTCAATATTATCAGGTTGTTGGAAAAGTCATGACGTATTTTTCTATGTTTTTCGTTGCAAAAATGCATCATGACTTTTCCAACAACCCAATATTTTATATTAGTTTCAGGTATACGGCTTAGTGGTCAGACATTTATATAATTTATGAAGTGATCCCCCGATTAGTCTAGTCCCCATGTGACACCATACATAGTTATTACAATATTATTGACTATATTCCCCATCCTGTACTTTACACCCCCGTGACTATTTTGTAACTACCTATTTGTACTTAATTCCCTCACCTTTTTCACCCAGTCCCCCAACCCCCCTCTCATCTGGTAACGATCAGTTTTAACAATTTATATTTGATAGAAAAAATAAAACTGAGGAATATAATAGAACCACAGACTAAAACAGACTCCATACAGTAAGGTCCTAAATTTGGACCCATTAATAACCTTCCAAAAACACATCAAACAATCACATTTAGCATACATGTATACTGTGTACATTTTGGGGGAACAAGGTGATGAAACTGAAGATTCTGAAAGGCAGCCATGACCTGCAAAATATTAAGTATCATTACACTACAACGTAATGGTCCCTACAACATGGAATGCAAAGCAAAATCAGAGAAAAAGAAAAGGAAACGTTTCTGAAACATCACCAATTTGGATACAGGGTTACGAATCTGGAGTTAACACAAACGAGTGTCTCATTTGCCCATGCTGATATTTCACATGCTTTGCTGTCTACTAGCAAAACAATGATACAGTGACACAGTGAAAAGATCACGAAGGGCTGAAGCAGAATGTCCAAAACTGCTTTTAGTCATATAATCTTCAGCAAGGCATCTACGTTCTCCAGCCCTCAGATTCCTCCTCTGAAAAATGGACATTTCTAAGTATCTTACAGCTTTAAATGCTGAATTTTCTTCATCTTTTATCTCCTAATCTATATAATTTATTTCTTTTAAGTTAATTACCAAAAACTATTTCCATGTTAAGAATAGTATTCTTAATCTTACATATATTTCTCTCACAATCATTAAAAGGGCAATTAATACAAAAGCATCTTCCAAATGGAAAGATTTTTGTTATTCATTATACTGAATATATTTAGAAACAAAGACAAATCGTAAGTAGGTGATGTCAGCAGGGATGGTGGTGTTAAAATCTCTGAAAATCATGTCTCCATCACTATAATGAGAACATTAGTAAAAGCTGTCAAAAGCAACTTATTCAGAACTCTGGAAAATGCTCAAAGGTTTGCAACAATCCCAAGTGCGCTGATGCAGGAAACGCAGCTAGCTCAGGCTACGATGTTCTGACTGGCCCATTCCCAACACGCCACCCCACCCCATGGCTCCACGGTGCTGAGCAAACGCAGGGGACCAAACCCCATGACCAGAGAAGTGTGACCACCTGACAGGGAGGGCTGGCTGCACCTGAGGGATGCAGGGCTCATTCACTGAGACCAGCGTTTTCCCTGGGATGTTGGCCAAAAACCACCACTGGCAACTGTCTATTTAACATCACAGCTCCCTCGGGTGGTCCCAGAGCTGGAGTAAACAGCAAGTTAACAGACTCTGTAAAGAAGAGCTGGCCCAGCAGATGGCGGAAGGGGCTCTGCAAAGCCCTGACCTGTTCCTGGGAGGCTCAAGGCCACCTCATGCCCAGGGAAACCTGGGCAGCCGGGGCCCCCGAAGCCCCCGACCGGGAGGCTCCTCTGTCCAAGCGGGAGTGGAGGGGACACTGCCCACCGCTGGCTGCAGCGGGCAGGTGAAGGGCACACTCGCCCTCTAACAGCTCAGCCTTGCAGCTTGGGAGCTGAAAGGACCCTCCTCTCTCGCACGGAGTCCAGCTGGTCGTAGAGGGAAGGGAGGTGGGCTCTGCTCCACACAGTCACTCAGGAACCCAAGCTGAGCGGCACTCCGCCCAGGTGACCCTAGGCGTGGATTTGTCACGGGCCCAGCTGGCACAGGGAAGAGCAGGTGGCTGTAGAAGAGGTTAAGGCCAGGGCTGGAAGCGGCTCAGCCTCCTGTGGCCCTGCCCTGACTGCACAGGAAAAGGAGTCGAGCTGTATTTCCGAGAGGAGAGGGAAATGGACCAGAAACGTAGCTCTCTGCCCCACCCGGGAGTACGCAGCCCCCCATTAAACATCACACAGTAAAGGAAATGCATCGAGCGTGCAGAGGCCGCTTGAGTATTACGTGCAGCCGAACTCTCCTGATAACGGCAGCCTCAACCGTACAGTGTGAATAATCAAAACCACAGTTGGTAAAAGGAGAAAACATTTTTCTTCTTTCCCACAATTTAAAATGTCACTTTGAAAAATGCTGTTTATAAATGGAAAACAACGTAAAACAACTTTAAAATGTAACTTTGTCCTTTCTAGAGTTTTCATGCTACAAAAAATAATATATATGTTGAGTTTCCAATAAAAACAATACTATGCCTAGGTTTCTATAAAAATATTGTTCATTTATTCAACAAGTGAGAAATGTAAGGCAGAAAGAACTTTGGCTATCACCTGACAAACCTCCCGTCATTTTGGAGACAATGAACGTGACTGACCACGAGACTGGGTCCTATAATTAGGGCCTGGCTCACGGAGACTAGGTTTTAGGCTTCCCGATTCCAACACACGCATCCTCCTTGACCACGTGAGGCATTCTTCTCGTTCTCTTGTAGTTACCCCTTTTCCACCCTCTTCTAACTGTTGAAAGCTTCGGTCATGTAGATATTTTTCTGTGAAGCCGCCCACTTCAACTCCGCTAGGCAAACCGTCTGGTCCCTCCCTGTTACCCCACAAGTGTTTTCACTCTTATAGTATCTACACAATCAGCCACAACAACTGTCATGCATGTACTTGTACAAATCAGTAGACCACGAATGAGTTCTGTGAAGGGGTGACTTGGTTTTGCTCCCTTTCGTATCAAGCATTGCCTGGCACATAGTAAGGGGTAAATAAATGTTTGCTGAATTAATACAATTGCAAATGTAGAACAGCAATCAAATTTCAAGTAACATCATTGAATTATTTAGATTTCATATGGATTTGAATGGAAACACTCATTTGATATATAGGTTCTGAAAGGATTATATTTTTAAACAAACATAGAGTGAAATCATTGTTTTAAATATCAACAGTTAAATGTAATTTAGAAATTAATAAATTCAATTATCATTCAAAGAAAAATCGTTATAAGAATAACTTTAAACTTTCAAAATGAAAATGAAACTCTCAAAACACCAAGCCATCAGCAAATGTAAATAAAAACAAAAATACCTGCTTTTTCTGAAGTCCTAAGAAATACCATGTCCGATGGAACTCTTTGATTCTGTAGAGAGTAATATAAAATATTAATTATCTATATGCAGGTTTATAAATGAACACAATTCCATTCCAAAGTAGAAATAGCTAATAAAAACAACCAGCTAAAATGTTATAATTAAAATTTATGTTGAAGCAATTAACATTTATAATTTGTATTTAAAAAATGAATATTTTGATTCATATTTTAGTTGGACTGCTAAGATTTTTTTCCCCATTAATGAACCATATAAATGGTATTTAGTAATGACTTGAAAACTGCTCCGTTGCTGGAAAATGTTACATATTGCCATTTCTGTGGCCTATTTGGACCTTAACTCATACACACAAAATAGCAGTGACTGCCTTGTAAAAAATAACATCCTTCCTATCAGACAAAAATGACCCTGGAAAGAGAGGATACCATTCTTCCAATGCCTACTACAAAACAGAGCATATCATAAATAAAACTTTTAATAAAAATTCTGAATGAATGAAAAATATATGACTGAGCAAACAAATTCCACAAATTTGAGGAGATATTCTTTTATGAAGCATAAGAAAAAAACCTCAAAGGTATTGTATAGCATATAAAAACTTACAAGTCACTATTGATACATTTATTTCATCATTATTATTAATAATTCTATCAGTTTGGAAAGGTGTATCATACTAACGAATATAATTAGAATAAGAATACTTCACATAATTTCATGATTTATATTTTTGAGACCTAATAAAGATTCATCTACATGAAATAAGAAATGGAGTATTTGTCAGTCAGTATGCAGTAAAAAAAAAAAGTAAGTTGTTAAAGCTGAAAAAAATATGCTGTAGGATAGAGCTACTTCTTTCTATCATGAAGAAAGAAGGGCAATTATTAAGAAGTAAAGAACTCCCAGGTCAAGGAAAAAAATCACAATGTAAATTGGAAAATACTTTTAACTGAACAGTAATAAAAACTCAACACATCAATTATGTGGAACACAGTCAAAGTCAGGAAAATGTTAAGGGGAAAGTAAACACAACTAAGAGAACACATGAGAAAAGGGAGGCTAAAAACACACATTCAAAGAGCTAAATATCCATTTGAAAGCAGAACAAAAACCCAGCCAATGAACTCCAAAGAAAGTACAAGGATGTAAGCATATAAGAACAAAAATTAATGACACAGAAAACAAATATATATACGGGTGAATATAGAAAGAGATACCAGTGACAAACATGAAGAATGTAAATAATTTTTCAAATATGCCCATTTCAGTAATAAGAAAAAATAACTGAATAAAACTAATAAAAGATGGGCAAGATACCTCTAAAAAAAACTATAAAACATTACTGAAATGAAATAAGACCTAAATAAATAAAACATGTCATGTTCTGAAATTAGAATGCACGTATTGCAAAGATGTCAAGTGTCCATATATTGATTTACATATAACATACGCCCAACCCAAACCTCACCATGTTTCTTGGTGGTCATTGACGAGAGAGTGCCCAAGAGCCCCGTGAGGGCTGAGTGTGCACCCAACTGAGAGATGGGCTAGTGTGGCTAAGACAAGCCAGGGCCCCACCGAGACAGACCCCTGCAGCGCTGTGAAAGCAGGGATTCCTGACGCAGGCCCACACGGGACGACACTAGACCCACGCGGAAGACGGGCCTGCAGACCAAGGAGCAAGCAAAGGGAAAGACATCTGCAACGTAAAGGCAGGACCTGTCCGGGACGCACTGAGGCCTACAAACCGATAAGACAGGAAGGGCTACTCAGAAGAAAACTGGCAGGAGATTTTTAACAAGCTCTCCCCAAATAAGAAAGAGGTCCAAAATCACATGAAAAGGTATCCAGCTTCACTGGCCTTCAGGGAAACGCACGTGGAAACCACAGCTACGACACACACATTGGAAGCGCTAACTGAAAGACTGACAATGCCACGCGCTGGCAAACGTGTGAGCCATGGGCAGCTCACACCACTGACCAGCGTACAGTCTGCAACATCCCTTTAACAGACCGTGGGCAGTAGCTGCGCAAGTGGACCACACGCGCAGCTCAAGCCCAGCCATCTCGCCCAGGCGGCAGGTGCCCACGGAGCCGGAGGCGTGGCATCACAGAGGCAGCACTCCCAACAGGCAAAGTTCAGGGGCAGCCCAATACCCATCCACAGGAGCAGGGGTGAAAGGCACGGCACGTAAGGACAAAACGAATGAATGGCAGTGACACACAACAAAATGCACGGATCTCATCCACACTGCATGGTAAAAAAAAAAGCACCCGCCCAAATACAGCCCCATTCCACTCATTTTTCTAGGCAACCCTGTCAAAAATCAATGAGCCATGAATTTAAGGCTTAATTTCTGAACTCTCAACTGTAAATTTATGCCAGTTCCTCACTGTCTTGATGACCATAACTCTGTATAACGTTTTGAAATGGAGAAGTACAAATACTCCAATGTTGTTCACCTTTCTCAAAACTGCACTGGCTATTCTTGGGTCCCCTGTATTTCCATATGAATTTTACAATCGGCTGGTCAGTTTCTGCAAAGAAGTCAGCTGGAATGTCGACATGACAGCACGGAGTCAGCAGACTGATTTGGGGAACACTGCCCCCTAACACTATCAATCCATCTAATCCACGAACACAGCGTGTCTTCCCACTTATTTAGGTCTTCTTCGATGTTTCTTTCAACAATGTTTTACAGTTTTCAAAGTAAGTTTTACACTTCTTTTGTTGTTTATTCTTAAAAATAACTTTTGAAGTTTTTTATTCTTTTTGATGCTACTGTAAGTGGAATTTTTAAAATTTCATATTCAAACCATTACACATTATTCCCTTATCTTGTTTTATTTTCCATGAGGCACTCATAAACTAGATAACTTCAAATTATTGAATACTTTTTATTTTTCCCTCCCCTCAAGCCTATGAACATAAGAAGGCCTGTGTCTTCTAAACAGGTTGCATCATGGTATGGCGCACAAGTTTCTCTGATTGTCACCAGTCAGGGTATCTGGACTGTTTTCAGATTTGGGGCTATTATGAATAATGCAGGTGTAAACATTCACATACAGGCTTTTGTGTCAACTTAAACATTTCTCTGTGACTCACTCAGGTCCCAATTGCTGAGTCACATAATATTTGCATATTTAGTTTTTAAAGAAACTCTAACGATTTTCCAGAATAACATTTCATATTCCCACAAGAAACGTTATGAGTGACCCTCCTTCTTCACATCACTTCTAGCACTTGGTGGTGTCACCATTTCCACTGCAGCCATGCTGTTGTGTGTGTAGGGGTATTCCACTGTGTTTAATTTGCATTTCCAAACGATCAACAGTCAGAATATATTTTCATGAGCTTATTTTCTATCCGTATATCTTCTTTGGTAAAATTCTCTTTGTATTTTTTGCCCATTTTCTAATTTGATTTTTTTTTACTGTTGATCTTTTAATAGTTTTTACATTTTCTGGATACAAATCTTTGTCAGGTGTGTGGTTTACAAATATTTTCTCCAAGCTTGTAGCTTGTTTTTTGTTGTTGTTGTTGTTTTTAATCATATTGACATGTTCTTTCCCAAAGCAATTTTTAATTTTAATCAGATGCAATTTATCACTTTTTTTTTAACCTTTTATGTGTTGTGCTTTTGGTGTCAAGTCTAAGAGCAATTTTCCTACCCTAGATTCTGAATATTTTCTCCAATGTGTTTTCCTAAAAGTTTTACAGTTAGTTCTACATTTTACATGAAATTCCCTGCTCTATTTTGATTTGATATTTGTATAAAGTGTGATATTTAGATTAAGGTTCATTTTTTTACCCATGGGTGTCCAAATCGCTCCAGCCCCATTTGTTGAAAAGGCTATCCTTTCTCCATTTTAATTGCTTTTGCACTTCGTCAGAAATCACATGAGCGTATTTGGGTGAGTCTGTCTGGATTCTCTGTAAGGCTCATTGATGGATCTTACGTCTATCCTTCCATGCTCTGTTGGTTACTGTATCTAGGTAGCATGCCTTCACTCTTCTAACTTATTCTCCTTGTAAGACTCTTAGCTATTTTAGGGCCCAATTAGTTTTAAAACAAGTTTATTTTGTCTTAAAAAAAAAAGGTTTTGATAGGAATTGTATTAAACCTATGGCTCAGTTTTCGGGAAACTGAAAGGTCCCAGTCTGAGCCCATAATGTATCTATCACATTTACTTGGATCTTTGACTCCGTTCATGAACACACTGCTATCACCAGCATGCCTAAGATTTTGTTTTCACAGCAGTGACTGTCACAGCACTGCATTCTGAGTTTCAGCTTCCACGTGCTCATTGGTAGTATATAAAAACGGGACTGTCATTTGAGTGACACCTTGCTGAACTCACTTATTAGTTCCAAGGGGTTTTATAGATCACAAGGGATTTTCTGTATACACAATCATGTCCTCTGTGAATAGGGCTATTTTTATTTCTTCCTGTCCAACCTGAATTCCATGTATTTCCTTTACTTGCCTCTGCAGTGGCTAGAATGCCAGTTGAGTAAGAGCGGTAAGAACAAACACCTTGCCTGATTCCCAGGCTGTTTCTCCATTAAGTATGATGTCAGCTGTAGGTTTCTTACAGGTAGTTTTCTAACAAGATTAAAGTGACTCCCTGTAATCTAACCTGTTGAGTTTTTACCACGAGTGGGTACTGGCATTAACCAGGTGCTTTCCTTGGATCGACTGATATGATCACATGATTTTCTGTAGTCTGTTAACAGGGTAGGTAAAGTTGGCAGATTTTTGAATGCTGAGCCAGCCTCTGGCACCTAGAATGACCTCCACTGGGTCATGATGTGGATGGAGGGCATGACCCTACATGCTGCTATCAACTGGCAAGCGGTTTCGTAAGGAATTTTGTGTCTGCGTGCATGAGGGGTATTTGTTTGGAGTTTTCTTTTGTTCTACTGTCGTTTTCAGATTTTGGTATTGACTCCTAAAATGACCCGGGTAGTGTTCCATTCTCAACTATTTTCTGGAAACTTCTGTGTAAGAATGATGCTAAGTCTTTTTTAAAGGTTTCAAGGAATTCTTTAATGAAAACATCTGGACCTGGGTATTTCCTTCTCTGAACTTTTAAATTACTATTCAATTTCTTTACTGGTTTTTTCTTTACTGGCTAGTCATATTATCTATGTAATTTTGGTAGTTTTGATAGTTTGTGGTTTCAGAAGAATTGGTCCATCTCATGTAAGTTGGTGCATTTATGAGTGTAAGGGTGTTTGTGGCATTCTGTCACTTCCTCTTAGTGGCTGCAGCATCTACAGTGACAGACCTGTCTCATGACTGATGCTGGCGTTTGTGTCATCACTCCGTCTTTTCGCCGGTCTTGCTCAGGGTTTATCCATTTTATTCACTTATTTAGGGGAACTAGCTTTTACTGCCACGATTTTCTAGCTTGGCTTCCTGTTTTCAGTCTCACGGGCTTCCGCTCTGCTCTCTAGTCCTTCCTCCCTTCTGCCTGCACTGGTTTGTTTGCTCTTCTTCTCCAAGTTCCTGAGGCAGAAATTCAGGCTGCTGATTTGAGAGCTTCACTTCTTTCTAATGTGGGTACTCAGTGTTATAAACTCCCTCTCAGCACGCCTCGCCTGCATTCCACATGTTTTGATGCTGTATGTTCACTTTCACACAGTTACATGTATTTTATTTCCTTTAAACTCTCTACTTACCCCATAAAGTAAAGTGCACTACTTTCCACGTTTCACAGTTCTCTACTATCTTTTTGTTGCTGATTATTTCCAATTTGGTTCTACTACGGTAACGCAGTGATCTGTACATGTCAATTATATGTTGATTCAGTGAAGGTCTGCTATACCATTGCTCGTTTTCTGTTTAGTACTTCCGTCTCACACTGAGGGAATGGTACTGAAGTATCCCCTATAACTGTGGATTTGTCGGGGGTTTTTTGAGCTTCCAGTTTTTGATTCATGTATTTTGTGGCTCTGTTATCTGGTGAATATGAATTTAAGATTACGGTCTTCCTGATGGATTAATCCCATCAGAATGTAATGCCTCCCTTTGTGTCTAGTGATTTTCTTCACTCTGAAGTGCACCTTATTGGATATTAATATAGCCCCTCCTACTTTTGATTAATTTATGTGGTCTATCGCTCTCTATTCTTTTACTTCCATCCTCCCTGTCACTGGACTTGAATTTCTTTTTTTTTTTTAAGATTTTTATTGGGGAATTGGGGGATGGGAACAGTGCTGGGGAATTGGGGGAATGGAAACAGACAAGTCGCTGTCGTTTTGTTCTTCAATCTAGTTGTGGAGGATGCTGCTTCACTGGCCCAAGTTGGCACCATCATTGCGCTCTTCCCTGAGGCAGATCAGTCGCTGGCTTCTGGATGGCCGCTCACTGCGGCTGCTGGCTGCTCACGCTGGCTGCTGGCTGCTCACGCTGGCTGCTGGCTACATACGGTAGCCCATGGCAACCCACTGCCACAGGGACTGCAGCCTACGCTGTCGCCGGAGATTCACGGCAGTTCAGCTCCAGGTTGAGCTGTTGTTCAGCATCTTAGCTGTAGAGGGCAGCGTCACTGGCCCTCATATGTGGGATCCGAACCGAGGCCCTCTGACATCCCAAGCGAGTTCTTAACCATCGCGCCACTCGGCCGGCCCCTTGAATTTCTTGTAAACAACAGATTGCTGGTTCTCGTTTCTTTATCCACTCTGCTTCTCTCCTGATTAGTGTATTTAGGCTGTTTACAATAAAGGCAATTATTGATATGTCAGAGTACAAGTCTGCATTTTGTTATTTGTTCTCTGTTGGTTTCCTCAGGTACTTATTTTTCAGTTTCTAGTATCTTGCCTCCTTGTGTGTTACCTGAACCTTTTTTAGGATTCCATTTCAGTTTATTTACAGCATCTAGAGTGCATCTCTTGGCGTATTTTTTGCAGTGTTTGTTCTCCTGGGTATTAAAATACACATTGTAATGCTTATTAAATTGCTTAAAATACTTTAGTAAAGTGCATTACCTCAGAAAACAGGATATTAAAAAAGCAGAATTCCTTTTGGCTGAACTTAGTTCCCTGGAGCAGTGAGTGAAGGAAGGCTCACAACAGTGTCAGTTTAAATCCTGTTTGCTTCTGTGCCAAGGAGCCTTTGCAAACGGGGACTTCAGAGACTGGGGCTGCGACCTGGGAGACGTAACCTTCAACTTCTACGAGTTTCTTGTTCTCAGTAGTTACCCTGCTGGATGTGTTCCTCAAGTAATGATATTTAAATAGATATGTTAGTCTAGAAATGTAGGTGCTTCTTAGGATTCCGTGTTAAGCTGGGAGACAGTTTTTGCAATTGCTTTCTTTGCCCTGCATGCACAAAGGTGGACTCTACCCGTGACTCTGAACATTTACAGGCTACCAGTTTCCAAGTCCATGTCGAGCAGATTCTGGTCCTAGGTTGAGTTTGAAGCTGGAGAACAAGGAATTTAAACCCAAGTCCGTCTCACACTGAAGCCTCCCAGCCTGCACTGTCCCCAGCTGGGGCTTCCCCGTCATTCTACAGCTGCCGACACCCTCAACACTGGTCCCACTGGGTCAGCACTTTTCTTCTAAATATCCAAAAAATGGATATCAATATACTAACTTTAATTCCACATGAAGATTACAGAATTAGAGGAACTATCCTACAACATAAAACCCAGCATGGAAATAGCCAAACATTAATTTCTAAATAGTAATATGGTCAAATAAAAGAGAAATAACTTTCCAGGCTAGTGATAAGTGTTGCCAGAATTCGTAAATAAATGTAAAAGGACAAAGCCATTTGCTACAAATCGTTGCTATTCTCTCAGTTATATCAATCAGCAAGATAAAATTTTTTATTACTACAAAGCCCACAAAATTGGTTTAACAAATACCATTAAATCACTAAAAATTTATCACTTCACAGTAATTGTTGGAAATTATGTCTAAAATTTCTGAATATTCAAGTTTTTAAGTAAAATATGTAGGAAATTTTTATAGGAAAATGGATGTAAAATTGGCAATATGAAAAGCAGACCAGGTAAAGGGCGCTCCCTATTTTTAGTGTGCAGCCCTCCAGTAGCTCTGCTTCCAGGTCCTGAAACGCCAGCGCCAGGCGGGCACAGCAGTTCTCACCCTGCACATAACACTGATCTAACTCTGGAGTGTTGTCAGCATGTGCGAGCCACTGGAGCACCGACATGACAGCAAAACGAAGGCCTGCAAGTGCTTCTCCACGGAAGGAAAACCTCCAGTCGATGTTGGCATCAGCCCCTTTCTTTTTTTTTTAGCTGAGCCATCCTGCCACCTGTTGGCAGCTCAGCGGCAGTTCAGCTCGGGCCGGGAATCGAACCGGCGACCCTGTTGCTCAGAGCTCACACTGAGCCAGTCGGCCGGCCCTCAGCCCCTTCCTTACTGAGGGGAGGGCGCTGTCAGTGCTGCCACAGACCCAGATCTCTGCGTTCCCATCCGTCTGCCTTCACGCCATAGCATGAGGCAGAGACCAGCCACTTACAGCGTGGCCAGAAAGATTCAAGTTACTCAGGGAAATGGGAGGAAGAGAGGAGAATGAGACGGTGAGCGCATCGCTCCATCAAACTAAACGGCAAAGACAAGGAGAGCTAGTGAGCAGGAGGGAAAAGAGGGAAACGACGCAAGAACGAAAGGCCCACCGGCACTCACTTAATTCACAGCCCTCACACTCCATACAAACGCCAGGCAGTCTCCTAAAAGTCACAGGAACAGGAGGTCACTGGCTGCTCTGTGGAGACCAGGGCTCCGAGCCTGGTCCGCTCTGCGGGCACTCTCACTTTCCCTTCCGCCTTCCCACGGGCAGGCCGGGGTCAGCTGCCCTGTGCAGAGGTCCCTGCCTGGGCCAAGGCTCCTGGACCCGAGGCCCGAATCCAACGAGGCCCCAGGCCCTGCCAGCAGCCCCAGGAGTGGGCCTAAAGGTGACGGTGCCTGGCTGATGCCTGAACTGCAGTCTTGAGCGGGGCCAGAAAACCCAGCCGAGCTGCACCCAGGTTCCTGACCACAGAAGCCATGAGGCAATCAACGGTGGTGTGTAAACAAACAGCATCAAAATCTATGTGACAAATGCTCTCTTGTCGGCATCGTGCAAAGATAATCATTGTAGCATTTTACAATAGAAATCACTTGAAAATCTAATAATTGATCCAAAGTTAGTAACTTATAATATCCATACAAATGAATACTATGTAAATGAGTTGCAAATCATTAAGTTTAGTTTTATCCAACTTTGTAAAATCCAGCAAACGTACTCCAAACCACTGTCTGTCCACATTAACAAGATGCAGACCCCTTTTGTCTCGAGGAGGAAGACTTCCGTGTCCCAGTACCTCCTCCAGAGGCTGGCTCAGGCTGGGGGTGTTCCCAGGTGGCCTGGGTGCCAGCTGCCTCCAAGGGCTCAAACTAGTCTGTAAGAGGCCTTTTGAAAACTTATCATTTAATATTTTTTCAAAGTTGTTCTAGAGCCTTTATAACTAAAAAAAAGGACTATCCCTTCAGTGTCTGTGCCTGCGGACACAGTTCTCACACTCAGTCACACTGTAGGCCACAAGCACCTGATGAGCCTAAGGATTAATATCCAATAATTACACATAATATATCCACCCGTCAAAGGAAACTCTAGAAACTGAAATGTGTTCTATTATAAACAGGCTCTAACACAATTCTTTGGTCACATGAAATAATTCTGATAATGCAACATTAAGCACTTAACATGTCTTATTTTAAGCAAAATATGACGTGACACACTGAAATGTACTTTCGCAAAACAGATACACACAAAATCTAAGCTTTTCTTTACATACGGCAAATCTTACACAAAGATGTTAAGGTTTAAAATAAATGTTTCAAACAATTTCCTTCATATTCAAAAGTTATTTGCAGTCAGGCTAAATGTTAATAAGTGGCATATACATGTCTAAAATATATTAAAAATGCATCAACCTTTTCCACTATGATGAGGTCTCCAACTTGTATGTCTGAACTCTTAACTTGCGCTTTACCTTAAAAAGAAGGAGAAACATTATCAACTCAAGGAAACAACAGCACACCAGAGTTAAGCTTTCAATTGATACGTAACACTTCACAAATGTATCTATACCTAGGCTTTAGAAATAAGTGTATTTCAGACAGACAGTCACTGTTAACTTCTCTCCACCGGCCCCAAATACAATCAACTGTCCCCCGGAAAGCCATGTGGGCATGGCCCCACTTGGGACGGTCTTCCCAGACCCACCATTGTTCCAGGGGTGGTCGAGGCACCGATGATCAGGAACATCACTAAATAAACAATTTGATGAATAAAGCTGAATCACGTGGACATGTAAAGTCCTGACAGTAACACTCTGAATGGTACTGACTGGTACATAACTAACCGAAAAAGAGAGACAGAAAATTATAGAATATCACCCTCCATTAGTAGCTTTACAGACACAAGTGAGGGTTGAAAACTGAGGTCTAAAGCTTTATTCTAAAAAGTGATTCTTAGGGCCGGCCGAGTGACTCAGTTGGTTAAGAGCTCGCTCAAGAGTGCACGCTCTGGGCAACAGGATCGCCGGTTGGATGCCCGGCCCGAGCTGAGCTGCCACTGAGCTGCCAACAGGTGGCAGGATGGCTCAGCTAAAAAAAAAAAGTGATTCTTCTCCATGACATCTGTGTGTAAATTCTTAAAATACGTATATACTATGTAGTGTACAATAATCATGCATAAAATTTATATACAGTATCTACATAATATGATGTCAACATCATGTGGAGTAGATGAAGCTTCACAGAGGCATCTGAGACGTCAAGCTTCTCTCAGTGCCCTGGTCTCGGGGCACGCCCTCACGCCCTCCCTCCCTCCCCCCTTCCCCTCCCTCCCCGTCTCAGGGGTCTTCTCCCTGTGGGTCTCCCTTTTAGGACTAAGAACAGCCTTGTGGGTCTCCTTACATTTTTGTAACTATTTTAAAATGGGAAAAGGTCCAATTCTTTTCTGTTCAGTTTATTCTGAAAGCTAACAGAGCAACAGTAAGTTCATGTTACATTATCAAAACCTAACATTAACAGTCATTCATTGACTTTTAGACCACATTCAACTTATTATAAACCTTATTTCCTAAATACCTCTTAAAGCAAAGTTTCAATAGTACCAAACAAGTTCCTAAAAATGTGTCTGGAGGCTATTAATAAGCTTTATAAATGTTGTATTTTTCATGTTCCTCAATTATATATTAAACACATAAGGGATGGAGCTACTTTTCATTCATATTATAAAGTAGCAAGGTTCTTTAGAATTACGAGGTGTGATCACAAAACACAGTGAATGTTTAAACAAAAAAAATGTATTATAGTAAAAGACACATTGCCATTAATCCCCCTCATAAAACTCCCCCTCGCTTCTAACACACGTATCCCATCGTTCTTGCCACTTTCTGAGGCAGTTCTGGAAGCCCTCTTTCGTGAGTGTCTTTAGTTGCGCTGTCGTGGCTGCCTCCATGTCCTGAATCGATTCAAAATGTTTACCTTTCATGGTAATTTTGACTTTGGGGAAGAGCCAGAAGTCACACGGTGCCAGATCCCATGAATAAGGTGGGTGAGGACACACCGAATTGTTTTTATTTGACAGAAATTGCCGTACAAGAAGTGATGTGTGACATGAAGCCTTTCTGTTGTGATCACAGACTACAGTAAATGCTGCCGCTGCGTGCCATCCAACGGAAAGGCAGGGATCTTCAACATGGGAAGAGGAAATGTCAAACCTTAGGAACAGTGTGTGACAAGTTTCAACCTGTTTGGTGCAGTCAGTCGGGTGTGAGCTACGGTTGAGAGAAGGTGTTTTAAAGTGTGCCGTAAATCATCCACCATCATGACAATGCTCCGTGTCACACATCGCTTCTGGTACAGCAATTTCTGTCAAATAAAAATATTACGGTGTGTCCTCATCTACCTTATTCATCAGATCAGGCACCATACAACTTCTGGCTCTTCCCCAAAGTCAAAACGACCATCAAGGTAAACATTTTGAATCGATTCAGCATATCGAGGCAGCCACGACAGCGCAACTAAAGACATTCAGCAAAGAGGACTTCCAGAACTGCTTCAGAAAGTGGCACGAACGATGGGATGAGTGTGTTGTGAAACGAGGGGGATTAATGGCAATGTGTCTTTTACTGTAATAAATGGTTTTTAATTTAAACATTCACCGTGTTGTTTGATCACACCTCGTACATGTACAACAAACCTTAAGCTATCTCCACAGCTGATAAGTATATGTGTAGTCACAGCCAGGAAATAGCCACAAAAGAAAGTCCATTTTAATGATTTCTTCCTCAGTCACTTCAAGCTCCATGTCTGCACCCCACTATTCCGTTTATGGCTAAGCACCAGGCAGTGAAGGCACCTCACTGATCTCATGCTCCCCGAGCTCACGCAGCAGAAGCCCCGTCTTATCATTTAACGTTATCCCTTCTCCCACCACCCACTCTTTTGCCTTTGTGTACTCTCTGTCATGCACACATTCAAAACGGAGAGAAAGAAACACTGTTGCCATCAGATGTAATAAACCAGGAACTGATTTTTTAATATTTTGAAACATAGAAGACATATCCTTTTTCTGACTCCTTAATCAAGATTTTACATATCTGAGAAAGTTATTACTCCATCGCATAACAGACAGAATTTATATTTAAAAGCCTTTAATTTTTAGGCATTATCTAACAATCGTTATTCATGTCAATGGAACTTACTTGCAATGACATGTTTAAGGGAATAGTTTTTGTTAAAAGCAGTGTAGAAAGTTCTCTAATGTTAATAATATTACAATATGGACAGAGTATGAGAAGGCTGAGCAGTACAGTGTCAAACCAGTGTGACAACAGGACACCCTGAAGTCCTGGGTAGGCCCACTGCTCTCTGCATAATCTGATTCCTGTAGCTAGATAAACTTCTTAAATATTTACCAAAGGCTACGGTACAACATACTGGTACTGTGGGTGGCTGTCAGTTAACAAGTTCTAAGCCTCTCAGTCGCTAAAATGAGAAGATGTACAGAGCAGCGGCCTCTCTCCCTCACGGGCCCGCAAATGCGGCAAATGCCCAGGGCCCAGCGGGGAGGGAGTGACGGCCGTGGCAGTCCTGACAGAGGGGACGAGCCACAGGCAGCGGCCATCTGACCCAGGCCCGTCTCCTCTGCGTGCTCACTGGCCCACACCACGGTGGCTTAGTCCTCAACGATCCCGAGTGTGCAGGCTGGTGTCAGCTGCTGCTGGAAGAGTGAGGAAACCGATGCATGGAGGCTGCCAGGCTGCGGAGTGGCTGTGACCAAGGCTTCACGAGCAGAGGGGACATTTCCCAGTGACCTTATATGTATTTAGTGTCTCATGTTTCCTGTCTGGGGAAGGGAAGCGGGAGGGGAGGCTTCCCAAGCCACTAGGCTGTACCATAAAGGCACACTGGTTACAGCCGGCATGGAGCAGAGCAGAACGCAGAGGCAGGGCCCAGCGAATCTACATGTTGCTCCAAGGCCTGAGACAAGAACTTCCGTAACTTTAATGACTGGTTTCAAAGTAACTAACTGACTATTTGGGGAACAAAAGAAAAGGTAGATTCCTTCTCCATGTAACACACACTTTAAACATAAAATTGCAAATGGAGTAACTCAAACCACTAAAAAATGAAAACACATACCTACTGTAAGGAAATTAAAATACACTAACTGGGATGCACGGACTCTCTAAGATTAAAGTAAATCGACAAAGGAAAAGATCAGAAAAACTATAAATTTATCTACATCTAAAAAATGCTAAAAAAATTAGTCATATAAGATAAAAATATCTGCCACACGTGATAAATTTCTCTTAGTATAGAAACTATAATAAGGTAACAAAGGAAATAGGAAAAAAAGGTGAGTAAACTTCTATAAAAGATCAAAACCAGACAATGAAATGTTAAAACTAACAAGCTAAACACAATGAGAGCACTTTGCTCCAATCAAGTTGGCAAGTTAGAAAACGTTCCATGTACAGAGGGCGGGGATGGTGGGGGAGGGGTGTGTGTGGCATTCGCTCTGCAAACTCTGCAACCTTCCCGGCAGCTTGCTGACAGCACCTATCGGGCTTGAAACTTCATATTTGACCTGGACAGTCCTCACTGTGTTCGCTGTCCCACTTTCCCGCCGTGTGCCGTGTGCCAGTCAGTCTGCCCAGCCTGGGGGTGGGGATACGGGTGGGGATGCACTCACGGAAGGCAATCACAGAGAAAGACAGTTACCAGAGGGAAGTTCAGGCGCTATCAGACACACATACACACAGCTCCTCCATGTTGAGAAAGGACCCCATATGAGCCAGCAAGTGTCTCACGCTTCCTGCATCCCAGGCCCTCATCCCCCAACAATGTAATAAAAACAGCAGCATGTGAGCATCCTGAAGAGATGAATTCACAGGCCATCTCAGGGGCGTCGAGGAAACACATCGGCCATGCGGGTGATGGGCAGACATGTGTACTCCTGCGTCCGGGTATCTGTCCTGAGTGTGTGTGTCCACGTGTCCACCTCGGTGCAGCCAGAGCACTAGACCAACGTGATCATACAGCTGAAGTGTGTGTTGTGCCGGAAATACACCACAGACCGCCACATATCACTGTGCAGAAGCAATGTGGTGATGCGTGCTGAACATTCTTGAATAACTATGGGAGTGGGTTCATTTCAAATGCTGCTCAGATCACAGACAAGAAAGATGATTTATATCTACTTCACAAAAAGGGACTCTGAGATGAATCTGTGAAAAGCTGAGTGTGTCTGTCCAAGAACTGCTCTGACTACACGAATCAAGCACACAGAACCAATTCCCACATGCCTGGTGGTGCACTTCATCTGTACTGTCACAAACGTGGACGAACGAGAGGTGACACCACATAAACAAATAAGGAAAGTCATCAGCACTTCTCTGAATATTGGACTGCAGCAATCAACTCTGATTACTTCCAGGTGTATCAGCTGCTAAGCAATTTCTGATGCGAATTCAGC